ATTTATTGCCGCAAAGTATTTTCAATACAATTGGACTGTGTGCTTGCTTATTTTGGACTCTTATTCGAGTTTGAGTTAAAAGTAAGATAAGTCACGTTCTGAACAACTATTTGCCAACAAATGTAAAGTATTTGTGTTTTAGTGTACAGTACACATTACATGAAATGAGTTAATTATCTTATGCTTCAATTAACCAAATATTACTTACATTACAGAGGAATCAGTGTTTTGTTTGACTTGAAGTGAATATATATTGATAGCAATTATGTTGAGGAGAGAGACGATTGATGTATGAAAAATGTACGGATTGTATGGATTGTATGAACGCATAGATCTTTGATTAATAGGAGCACTGATGGTGTGAAAGCTCTGCTTCACTAATATTGACACCTTTTATACGGAATGCTATTATTGTGTGAATCCACAAAACATGTATTTATTTCATAGATTAAATTGAGTGTCTGTTTGGCAATCACTAGAAGACAATTGAGAGTCAAATATGAGATGAATAGTGGTTTGACGTGTTTGAGCACTAGTGAAGAATACACGCCATTATTATTTGGATGTTCTCGTCGTCGGTGACCGATGGAGCCATAGAGCCATCCATACAGCCATTCAGACATAGAGCCAGTGCTCCCATCACTACATCAGAGCCACCAATACTATGGCTCACTCCATAGCACTGGGATATCTTCCTCCATAGCACTGGGAGGGAGAGGGAGAGCTCTCTTTTGTGAAGCGATTCTCACCATATCATCGAATTTTTGAACCCAATGTTTGCATTTGTATTCATTGCTTATATACTGTATGAATGGCTCGTCCTCTCAAATATTTCAATACAACTATAAATAATATTTATTACATATTGTGTTGAATTCAAAGCAATCGATAGGACTATAATTAATGAAATTTTGCTAATTATGTGAAACTTATATAAATTATAGTCTGAGTTTTGGATGCCATCTGAAAATTGATTGCTAGAGAGAGTCGTGTCATTCATATCGTAATATAATAGATGATTGTTGTCTACAAAATGAAATGCATTTGCAGTCATAGAGGGAGAAGAGTACCCGTCCGACGATGTCTTTAATTAACATAAATTAATATTCAGTTTTTGCCACAATTGGCACTTTTAAGCGCAGGGGAATATTGAGCGCAAACTAATTAATTTTGTCGCAAAACATATTCAAACCATTTCTGTGGGCTTGAAATTCTTCAGATTTACAAACCTTTGCTTTTTATATGCTTTTCATTATTCGATGGCATTCTTACGCTCCGATAATTAAATATTTTATACAATATTACTATTAAATAAAGGCTCGCATTGTATATAAGGAATGTATTCAAACATATTCTTCACAAAAACGACACTTTCAAGAGATAAACCATTTTTGAATTCTAAAAATATTTGGTTTTTGTTCAAAAACCACTCCTTTTTTACCTGACAGTCGAGTTGAGTGTATAGTATTGTTGAAGAATATAAATCGAAAGCAAATATTATGCGAATGAATGAGTTTTGAAGATAATATAGAAAGTTGCAAATAAAAGCTTCAATTTTTTAGCAATTCATTAACAAAGGCATCAAAATGGAGATCAAATTAAATAATAATTAAATTAATAAAACACTTTTCTAGTTTCTTTTTGTTAAGTTAATAAATTTTGCTTAAAGTTTGCCAAAATTATGCGAATAAAAGCGTTTAAAATAATAATGATTTTTTAGAGGTTATTATGTTTTACATTAAGAGCACATAATATTATATTAATTTTAACACTAATACAATGTAAAAAGAAAAACAATTAAATGTAATTTTTCTGTCAAATCCCTAGAATTAACTTTAAATTTTACTCGAGTGTGAAAGAGATCTGAAAGGGTTTTTAAAATGTATTTTTTTACAATATTTACATTAAACACAATTATAAATAATATGACAATTTAGTAGTTATTAGTTTTTTGCAAAAAGTTATTTTTCAAGGTTTTCACAACAATTTTGTGATTTGATTACAAGAGATAAGCGATAGAAGAGTGAGAGAAAAAATGTGAACAAAAAAGTAAAGCGAAAACGTTTTGGGAGTTTTGGGGGAAAGAGCTAAGAGTGACGAGAGAGCGAGAGAGAGAGGGAGAGAGAGAGAGTGACGAGAGAGCGAGGAATACAAAGATTAATAATTGTGAGGGAAGGGGTGTTTTGGCTGTTGTTTCCAAACACATCTCTCATTGATATTTGCAAAGTAGAGGTGAAGTACAGTCTGAACAGCTGTGGAGGAACTCTTTGACAAAATTGATGGCTTATTACTGGAAATGTTTTACAAACTAAGACATTATTCATTTTTATCTAATAATAATTATACACATCAGTCGATAAAGAATTTTTGGGTTTCCTTCACAAAAAAAATGAATGTCTTTTCTCACACACTTTTAAAGCATACATTATTTTGTATTATATTTATATTTTGTTTTTATATATATTTGATATATATATTATATAATATATATACTGTATATATTAGCGAACCATCACATAATCAACTAATTGTGTTTGTAATGTACGTATGAATTGGTTCAGAACTCTATCACAGAAATAAAATTAATGTATACAAAGATATAATAACAAAAACATTACGACCATTCGTATACCTTAAGTGACAATTAAATCTCATCAATCATATCTCGATACATATTGTTGTTGCAGTTTTTACGCTAAGTTTTGCCTTCAGGTCTCAGTCAGTGTCTGTGAGTGAGGCTAACATTGCAATCAAAACCAAACCATTCAATTGAATTGTGTTTTCAGTGAGGAATGGGTTTGTATGGGTTGTATGGGTTGTATGGGTTGTATGGGTTGTATGGGTTGAGCAATACTACGATTCTCTGATAATTAATGATTTCAATAATAAATAACATGTGATTTGAAAAAAATAATTTCAATGTTAACTAAAACCAAAACCTAAGTGAGGTCTGAATGTGCGGAATAGTTGTCTACTTTCACAAATTCACAAATCATGTCATTTCTTATGTATTTGCGATAAGACTGATGACATACACCTACTGCCAGGAACTGATGCCTACACTAACCACCGGTGCCACATCTTAATGGAATATTAATGATGAATACAATACTGGTAATGATTCACCAAAAACTTTGTTTCCATTAATTTGTTAATACTTTTATATAACATAAAACAAACTCATGGCTCGAATAATATGGGAGAAAAAAATCAATTATAAAGTTTGACTGAATGACAGAATATTAGCAATATTAGAGGACTCGTACGTGTAGTGAGTCGTCAAATAATGTTTATATACATTATATTCATAATCGAGAAATAATAATAATCATTGGTTTTGGTACCTGAGAGCAGAACTTATCATTTTTCACATTCAATTCAATATAATATCCCTTATGTGACACTTAAATAGAAAAAGAAAACTTTTATAGTTTTTATAATAGATTCAAATTTGGTTCAATTCAAGTCATTACTGATTGCCGTAACTGTACTGTAGTTTGTATGTCAAATGCTAGCACTGACTCTAATACAGGTATATTATGGTCGCAGTGTATGTGTTATGATTATGAGTACAATATTACAAATTATTAACAAATGAAGTAATTTTTGTCGTATTTTTGTTTTACACGTATTATCGCAAATGTCCCGAAATAGGACTCAGCTTTAGTTTTAGTCATATTTTAGTGTTTGTAGTGTTTGTACTGTTTTGCTGTACATTTCTGTCCATAATATCATATAATAATTATATCAATCTATGAGACAATTGCATACATTGCACGCCCAACACATCGTTGAAATACAAAAAGAGTTAAACAAATAGAAAATAATTCTCAAAAACGATATATACTTTTCAAATGTATTATTAGTACATAATTATAATCTTATTCTATATGAATAGTATCCATAGTTTTCTCTTCTGAAACATAATTTAAGAAAAAATTGTATTTCATTTGCAAAAATGTATTCATTTTAAGCACATAAATGACTGGCCCTTCGATTTAACAAACTTTGGACTAATTGTAATCATTAATAGCATAATATTTAAATCATTTGTTCTACAAAGTGATATAAACTTCATTTCAACCCAATCTAAATCCTATTCAATCACTCAATCACTCGATTTCTCTCTGTTTTAAACGTTAAGACATTTTATATTTTGAAACTCAAATTTTTCAGTTAATATATTATATGAATGAGAAATAAGGGGCAAAACTAATGAATATAATCGCAAATTGCGACCGAATATCGAAATATTATCTTCAATTACATTATAATTTTTAAGTCCCGTTTCATATCAATTAAAAAACAGTTATTTCGATATAAAAAAGAATTTTCTGACTCTTTCTGCAGATATTATGCAATTAATATCCCTTTAGGGAAAAGTTTTCCTTTTTTCCATTAATGTCTTTAATAATTGAGTCTTTTTATCTAAAAATGAATTAATGATTAAATTAATACTAATTTGCTTATCGATAATATTTGGTAAAAGTGTTTCCTATCGGTTGATGTGTTTGTGTTTTTGTATAATTGAATGTTTAAACGATTCTTAAATATTTATATTAATATTTAGACCCAAAACTGATTCACGCTTTAGTTTCATGCAAATGATGCAAATGATGGTCGACGGGACCTAACATTTGAGGTAATTGTGGGGGAACTACACTTTGCATCTTATGCTCTTTCTTCCATTTCATTCTTCGGTTCTGAAACCAAATCTTGATTTGTCTTTCGCTGAGGCATAAGGAGTGCGCGATTTCTATCCGTCGTCTTCGGGTGAGATAACGATTAAAGTGGAACTCCTTCTCCAACTCCAGCGTCTGATATCTGGTGTACGAAGTCCTCTGTCTCTTCGTCTCTCCCATTGCGTTCACACCGTCTGAATGNGATTTCTATCCGTCGTCTTCGGGTGAGATAACGATTAAAGTGGAACTCCTTCTCCAACTCCAGCGTCTGATATCTGGTGTACGAAGTCCTCTGTCTCTTCGTCTCTCCCATTGCGTTCACACCGTCTGAATGAATATGAAGACAACACTATTAGACATTCATTTAAATACGATTACGACTACCATTTAAGAGCATATAATGACAAAATATGATACATTGACTCTCGGGTTGGCAAATAAAAACAAAACTAACACTCAGGGAAATATATGGGAACATGTGAATCGAGTTATGTATTAATAGATTGTTTTAAAATATAAATTATAGCCACTAGTTCATTTGTGCGTTCATAATGTATTAGTGCATAATGTGTGTAGTAATGTCTTTATACACGGGTTAGTCTGTTAGTCGATGTCTATGTCTATGTCTCTCATAAACAAACCATTACTAATGTTCTTAGCAATGAGGGGATGATCGAGTAGATCGACTACTAGTGAGTTGTGAGCTCTGCCACCACTGCCTATCACTCACAATACCACACAATACATACATGCAATGGCAATGGCAATGCCAATAGACATTCACAGCGAACCTATTTTGCAAACAACAGTCGTATGTACTATCCGTCGTCTTCGGGTGAGATAACGATTAAAGTGGAACTCCTTCTCCAACTCCAGCGTCTGATATCTGGTGTACGAAGTCCTCTGTCTCTTCGTCTCTCCCATTGCGTTCACACCGTCTGAATGGATAGGAAGACAACACTATTAGACATTCATTTAAATACAATTACGACTATCATTTAAGAGCATATAATGACAAAATATGATACATTGACTCTCGGGTAGGAAAATAAAAACAAAACTAACACTCAGGGAAATATATGGGAACATGTGAATCGAGTTATGTATTAATAGATTGTTTTAAAATATAAATTATAGCCACTGGTTCATTTGTGCGTTCATAATGTATTAGTGCATAATGTGTGTAGTAATGTCTTTATACACGGGGTAGTCTGTTAGTCGATGTCTATGTCTCTCATAAACAAACCATTACTAATGTTCTTAGCAATGAGGGGATGATCGAGTAGATCGACTAGATCACTCAACACTCGAGACGGTGGTGACGGATAGTGAGTGTTATGGTGTGTTATGTATGTACGTTACCGTTACCGTTACGGTTATCTGTAAGTGTCGCTTGGATAAAACGTTTGTTGTCAGCATACAAAAAAATGAACACAAAATGAACGCTAAAACATAGCATTAGTGGAACTCATAGTCAAAGTTGTAATTATATTATGTTTTGAATTAAGGCCTCAAGGATTTCAGGACAAAGAAAACCATTACATCAATACCTTATATAACGAGAGTTAACTAAATTTAAACAAAACTATCATTTGATTAGCAAAACATTAAATACTCAATACTAATGAAGATTATATTAATACAAAGACATTGAATTTAGTGAATGTATTGAATGTTTGGCTCATAATTATTGAGGAAAATATTTGAAGAAAAGGCAAATGAAATGTAAAGACATATTTGTATTCATTATTCAATGAGATATGGCTTTTGGCAAATTTAGACCGAAATGAGAGCTAAAACTAAATGCCAAATGTTTCTCTCTCTCTCTCTCTCTCTCTCTCTCTCTCTCTTTGTTAGTGAGAAAATATGCAGCTTTTGGTCTTTGGCTGTACTTTTACAGCGTATATGAGAGACAACTGAGAGCGTGAAAGGCTGTCTTTTTCTGTCAATATAAATGATATTGCAATGGATTCTGGTGCTGACCATCCGGTGCTATAACTGCCAAACATAACAATAACAGTAGTAGAGATCGCCTGGAGGTTCAACAATATAAATGGAAAGTTATAGTCAGTCGCCCACAACTCATGCATAGTGTGGTGTTTAATAAATAACATTGCATTGCAGTCATAGGGATAGCCATACGGAGCGCACAGATAGTAGACATGCATAGAGAGTGATGCGGTTCATGCCGTTCATGCCGTTCATGCCGTACACACCGTTCACACCGTAAACATCACAAACACCACACATTCAATACATTCAAGACATTCACTGATTCCCTAATTCTCAGACAATTGTGAACAGTATTGAAATGCAAAGACATAACACACACACATACTGTACATATAGCGCCGTTGGTGTGTAGGCCTGTTGAGCACAGAGAGCACCCTATCATTTTCGTTACGCTTGATATAATAAAAGTAAGATTGTAAATCAGTACCGGGCCCTTTATGTCCCCCTTTAACTGCCTATTTTATGGCCGGCCATAAAACTAACTGCTTTTGCCAACTCTTGAGGCAGTAATGCAGTAGAATTATGGCAGTTGTTCACTGATACCATACCAGTGCTATTTTATGGCTAATGGGAGGGAAGCCTATGTTTGACAGTACCAGCAGAGGTGGTTCCAACCAAATTTACAACCGTCTGAAGATCAGTGAAAAAGGCCTCTGCGCTCCAGAACTCGACATTTCACGTCCAGATACTCATCGGTGTACTTGTCTACCAGTGCTCTTACACAACATCAACAACACATTCACCACTACATCGCCTAACCATCACTACATCAACAGCCAAAACAACGCAACCCAAGCAACGCCATGACAGACGCCGCGAGACCACGTTTGGACAGGTAGGCCGAGTAGGCCGAGTAGGCCTGACACGGGCGGACATGGAGAACAAGTGAGTGGACTTACTTTGGCCGACGTGCACTTTCCTCATCCATGGGTAGATGTGCGGCGGGTTTTGCGAGCCGTAAGTGCCATTCTTGCCCTGTCCTCCATTGGCTCCATTTCCTTGTGAATTGTTTTGAGCTGTGTTCGCACCGGTAGGTTGTGGTACGTTCTGTTGGGAGCCGGCAGATGACCGCTGCGGTGGCGAGGCTCTGGGTTCGGGTGATTGTCCGGCGCCACCGCTGGATGTGCTGAGATCTTGAGGCGAAGAGGCCGAGTCGACGGCGTACTTGCAGCTCGAGGGAGAGGTGGGCGTCCGGGAGGGCAGTATGGGCTGAGTGGAGCTGTGGTGACTGAGCCTCGACTGGACTACGGCCTGAGCTGTCGATTGCGAACACGAATTACTCGAATAGGGATGAAGTTCTCTGTGATGTGTGGATACGTGCGGATGACTCGAGTGATGATGACTGCTGTGATGGTCGCCGTTCTGCAGGTACGCCGAGTAGGCATTGGCGGGGGATGTCGGCTGAGCCGTGGCCGCCGTCACGGCGTTGTTGGCGGCGGTGGCGTAACAGTTGTTGTAGACCTGCGGCGTGTAGTAGTCGGGCGGTGTCTGTGCCGAGTCGGGCCCCGGTCTGGGCTGACCGTAGCACGAGGTCAGGGAATTGACGAACTGGTATGAGCTCATGGAGTGAGCCGAGTCTCTACCCAAGTAATTGTGCCCAATATTCCACGCAATTTTGATATATAAGATGAATTATGGCTGAGCCGAGCGTACTCTCCAGGAAACCTCCGGCACACTTTAATAGCGCATTATACCATCCAAATGACTGCCTCCCTGGCCAACCACGTGACGCACCTACAGCCAATCCCCGTCACGCCAACACCACTGTTGCCATAACTTCGAGATGTAACTCACGATGGATTGAGTCTATGTGCCGATCGCTCTCTATGTTTATGTATGAGAGAGCGTGAGAGTCGAGAGAGTACACGGAGAGCACAGAGAGTATGCGAGAGAGTATGCAGAGAGAGCGAGAGAGTGGATGAGAGAGCAGTGAAGAACTCGTATTCTGTGAATGCTATCAATGCTATCAATACAACAATAATAAGAATATCTTATAAATTACTGTTATTAATACAATACTAATACTATTAGTATTTTTATATTAGACGAACTATGCTTACAATCAAATCAACAAAAATCTTGCGATCGTCTCCACTCTAACTCTAATGAATAAATTTTTTACCAAAACATTAAAGTTGTTTCAAAAGTCCAAAACTATTATAATTGGCAGTAATGGTAATGATGTCGATGGAGACAATGATGACTAAATATATAATTATTTCATACAATTAGCACAAAATACTATTAACTTCTTTGAAATTGAGAAAAAATATTATTTATTTTTCTTTTAATATTTTCTTTTTGAGTCTTTCGTTTTGAAGAAAAGGAAAAACAATTCACTAAAAGAAATAACTTAAAAAATAACAGAAAAAATAATTTTTACGAATCGTATAATTTTTGTGAAATTATAAATAAATTTAAGACGAGTTGAGTTGAGAATTGTTGGCAATTATACGAGTGAAGCGTTTTTTGAACTGAACTCAAACGCTGTTGTACTGTAAACACAGAATTGAAAAACTTATAGTTTGTATAAATTCTTAGCGAATAAATTGAGTCAAAATTCACTTTTTTGACGGCTTGTATATATTTTGCAGGTTTTTGACAAACTCTAGAAATGTGAGCCTTCAGTACACGAGTGAAGATCGGATCTGATGTGTTCTCATAGTTTACGGGATCTGATATTGTATAACAAGACGTGGAACAGCACCTCCTTCTTAGGTCCAGTCCAACCTCAACTTGAAGCTAAAATCCGTAGCTTTTTTGATGTCCCAAACTTTTTCCCCGATTCTGCTCTCTCTGGCGCCGAATGATATAACAACCACATTATCATTTACCCCCTCCTCTCCCCATTTATATCTGCCAGACGAGACTCAGGCTCAAGAGGCACACCAAGAATTCTTATGCGCTTCTCAGTGCCACCAGATCTGCCAACACAGCGCATGGATCAGTTGGTTCATGAGGTTCTGTCGGTTCGCAATATGAATCAAACAAACATCAACATATGAACGCCATCGCCGGCACTGACACTCGCCAAACGCCATCCAGTCTTCACCTGATTTGCTTCCGATCCAAACAATATATTTGTCAATCCATTCACTGTCAGTGCAATAGTTGTTGTTTTGTTTCGTTTGTTTGTTTTGCTTTGTTTTCTATCCAGTGTTTCGCAGACAGTCAGATAGGGATTCAGAACAACGCTTTCATTATAGCCATTATAGCAGCAAACCATTCATTGACAGCTTTAGCTATATTTGTAAGTTTGTCGCACTCATACCCGAGCCCTGTGCCTGTGTTTGCGATAATCAGAAAGTGAGTAATAGTGAGTGCGAGAGAGAGAGAGAGAGAGAGAGCGAACTGAGTGTGTTGTTCATAGAGGAAAGTAGAGCCAATGCATAATTAATGAGAGAAACAGAGAGTAAGTTTGATATAATGGTTAAATGGAGTTACTTTCAGTCCTTCCAGTGATCTGACGCTTTATTCATGGATTGGCACTCACTATAAGACTCTGTTAGCCCTAATCGTCTCACAATCGTTTTTGAAAGAAATTTTACTCTTATATAAAAACTTATTTTTCAAGTATTACTTATGCGTGTCTTTTTCTGTGTGTGTGTGTCTCTCTCTCTCACTCTCTCTCTCTCTCTCTCTCTCTCAAATTAATGGCATTAGTTTTTCTAATTAGTTTTACTACAATTTCTTCTTTTTCTTCTCAACTAATTAGACTCAGGGGTTCAGTCGGTCTATAGAAAAGTTGATCCATTTTTAGCATTCACTTCATTTGATGCGATTTTGTAGATCAGAAAATATATTTTTCCCACTTTATCATAGACTCAAACCATTGCACTGTCTGTCATATTATTTAACTCAAAGTGTTTGAACGTACACTTAATTTCGTTTAAGTGTAGAATCTATTTACCAGTACTTTATTTTTACTTATTTTGTTGTCCATCAAAACTAATAACATTATGTGTACATTACTATACAATTCTCTCTTTACTACAAACTGCCATAACTATGGAGGGGAGAGAGAGAGAGAGAGAGAGAGAGAGAGAGAGAGAGAGTTTCAAATAACTCATAACTAGACTCATATGCTCTCTCTAAGTAAGCCTTTATTAAAAAGTAGAGAAACTTTTCTCTTAAGATTGATGACAGTGACCATACGAGCGCATGGTGTCGGTTCCCACCACACGTGCAAATATTTTCTACCAATACATACAGTACTGTCGAAATGGAGTTCCCAAACATTCTGTATAGACTTGAGAGCAGAAACAACTTTTTCAAAACATAATTTTCATTTTATGTCATTATTTTGTTGATCGCTTGCATGCAATCTATGGCTAAATGACCGAAAGTTTGCGCTGTCTTTGTATATGTTTTAATAGTTGTTTGAAATATAGTTGAGTTGACATTATTTGATGCCTAAACACACAAAAATTCACATCTCTCTAAAATTGTCCGAACAATGAGTATATTTGAGCGTTAAAAATGTCTAAACTTCAGTGCATTTCTATAATACAATTATTTAGTCTTCTGTTTTAAGGCTAAAAATAGTATAATTCAGTAGATTTTTTGCCGTTTTTATGTTAACATAACAGGGCTGGGAGTATATGTTTTTCTTTGCGATGTTTGAGCACAAAGTTGATAGAAATCGCTTTTTTGAGCAAAAAATTCATTCGTATTTTTAGTGCATTTATAAAAACAGAAATGCTGTCAAAAATCCATATTTTTATTTCATGTCAAATAAGTGAATGAGAGTTAGAGGAGAGGGAGAGAGAGAGAGAGAGCAATGAATAGAGTGAATGTGTGTGAGAGAGAATAGGTGTTACACCACAACTAGCCGTACACTATATAGTATATACTGACTGTTTTAAACACATCGTATGCATCAATGAGAGAGATTATGCACCAATATTGTAGTCGACTTTTTATTTCACTATGATATGTGTCTCATAGAGTCTCGAAAGTGTGGCTCACAATTGTGTCCATCATTATTATATGGAAGGGAAACAGTCTTTCAGTGTTTCAGTCTTTGCTGTGCACTCAGTCTCTCTCCTATTACTGACTCACATCTGCTTTTATGCTTAACTTATATACACTGTATTTCATGTATTCTATGCGCGCCATAGCTATTCCAGTGCCAATAGAACTGGTATTTCAATGTTATATTCTATTGTATATACTGTTGAACTTCAAAGCAAACAACCTCTAAATGCAACAAAATTTGTAAAATACTAAATAAAAGTTTAGATATCATCGCAACAATTATAATACTTTCGTAGCGCACTGAATACAATGCAAATAATATGGATGTGCTATATATGAAAAAAGTCTACACAAGACATTAGGGGAGAAAAATATACAATCAATGAGAGAGAGAGAGAGAGAGAGAGAGAGAGAGAGAGAGCGCCATTGCATTGCCTTTAGTCAACAAACTATAAAACATCTATTCATCAAAGCATGAAATACTTTTGCGACTATAAATCGATATTATATTAGTGTATATTTGTGTGTCTTTTTTCTCTCCAATAATATCAATGTTAATACTATATTGGAAAACAAGAATCAATAATTAATTACAGCAACACCTGTAGTACTAGCCCTGCATTGACGACGACTAACTAATACACTGTATTTGGCTAATACAGTAAATGTATTAAAATTTGAACGCATTATAAGTTATCGTTGATATCAACTGAAAACATACGACATGAATGAGTGGCGGCTGTGAATGCGGTGCCACTACTGACTACTGATACACAAACACTACTGAATTTAGAGAGACTGTAGTTTGAGCGTTGGATGTATGTATGGATGTATGGATGTACAGCCAGAGTAGTACTCACTGAATGGTAATATCCCTGGAGAGGAGGATGAATGTGTAATCTTGCATAAAGGGGTGCCGAGTATCCATACTCTTAGTCTATGCATTCATGGCATCAACTTTTATACAATATATAATATATGACTTACTTCTTATTTATCACTCAGCGCTAGTAATCATTGGATTTACAAATAAACTTCTCTTGTCTTGTCTTTTGCTTCTTTTGTTTAGTTTTGTTTTCCTTTTTCTCATTCTTTCCAATAAATTATTACATTTTTTGCGTCGAGTTATTAAATTGAAAACAATAATCATAATACAAATATAATGGCTATAAAAGTAAGTAAAACACAAAACATTCACATAATAATGATGGTAATAATTGAATTTCTATATCATATGGTAATAAATATATTTTACAATAATTTTTAATACATACAATTACATGAAGTTATGCCACAATTAAATATATTTTTAAACTTAAAATGTATGGAATATCATATTAAATGGTGTAATAATTGAAATGATAAGACCCAACTTTTTACTTATACTTATATAACTAATAAATTATTTATAGTGAATACAAGTTCATATTCATATTTAACTTTTTATATATAAATTTGTATAAATAGTATTTGATATAATAATTTAATAATACAATAGTGTATAAGTTCTCCTGAGAATCTTATTCATGTTAGAATACAATCAAATAAATTTCTAAATAATTTTGATTTGTTGTTATAATAATTAGGAAAAACCACCGAAATTACTTTTATAAAGTATTTAGTTAAGTTAGTGTATTTGGGCATCCTTGACGCTACAGTACAGTATATAGTGCTATTAATAACATAATGACTTTGTTATGTTGTCATTACTTATATTTTGTTGAGATCTAAGCGATTAAAGATCACAAAAGCTTTCCATACAATCATTCATTGGATTCATTCATTGGTCTAATTTTGACAATCAGTTCACTTGTTTCAGAAAATATATGAATATATCGGACGAAAAAAGTTTTGGGAATTTTCTTAATGGAATGTTTGGTTAACTCTATTTGTACTTAACATGCATTGCATTTATTGGTGAATTTGGTTACGATTGGGAACGAAAGTCTGTGTTCAATACCACTATATATATAATATTCTGTGAATAGCAGTGTTATTGAACAATACAAGCAAATACAATATCTTTGATATAAACTGCAGCACATATTATGGCTTTTAAAGAGAAATTACATTTTTTATTCGTGTTATAACGAGTGCCACTAAATATTCAAAAAGCAATTTAAAAATTGGTTACGTTATGAGAAACTCTTTTTTGATTTATAGATACGATAACTCTCTTTGGCATTGAATTCAACGAAATAAGAGAAGAAAATATTTACATTGAATTAAAATATAATAATAAATGCAAAAAATACTCAATTTTTCTAACTAAATATAAATTATATAAGAATTGCACACAATTTTTCAGTTCTCTAGTAAAACCCGTAAAAATATATCATTGAGTGATAGCTTTATTAATATATGAAAAGAATCTAATAGTGAATACTGTGTTACTTATAATTGAAATGACAACCGATAGCTCTCTCACAATATAATAACTAAATTCAATGTTAAGAGACAAACACCTGAAAGAGCTCTCTGTGCACCCGATCCAGAGATAAGGGCTGCAGGCTGACCATTTATACGCTTTTACCGTTTATATGACATGCCATAAAAGGGTCTAGAGCAAGTAAACTCTTTCGGTGCTATAAATTAATCAAAAGTGAAGCCCATCTGTTGTTACTGAAGCCATACACAGCTCCCAGTCATTGCAGACCATCACTCGCTTCAATGATAGACAATAGTTTGGGTTTGGGTTTGTGTTCACTATAGTTATAGTATGTGTAGACAATTGAGTGCCAATACTTGCAATCACTAATAGATCATCATATTTGATATTTGAAAATAACTCTTATTTTTAACACATATTTCATTGACAAATAACTTAATAATAATTCACATCTTTCTCTGTAATTATATTAATCTTAATCTGAATATTTATATTAAAAATCATTTGTTTGGTTAATAAAAACTATTTGTTTGTCTAAATGTCTAAATAATAACATTTGAGTCGTCGTTATCATCGATGAGTTTGCCGTCAGCGTCGTTGGGGTCGACTTTGATTTTGTTTTCCTTCTTAGCTTTCATTCTCCTGTTTTGGAACCAAATCTTGATCTGTCTTTCGGTCAGTCCTAACGAGTGGGCGATCTCTATGCGTCGCCTTCGGGTCAGATACCGGTTAAAGTGGAACTCCTTCTCTAACTCCAGTGTTTGGAATCGAGTATATGTTTGTCGAGTTCTCTTTGGTCCCTGTCCTGAGTCTATGCAAAGATAGTAAAGGCAATCGTAATCACTATTCAATTCTCATTCATTATAGCAATTCATTTACTGTATAATCATTTACACAACAATTTCTAACTCATAATAATAGTCACACACATTGTATACCTCATAAAACAGCTAAACATTCGCTAAACACTTCAAAGCTTTAATTTGCAGTTAGTTTTGTGTGAAGTCATAGCACTTGACAATGAAAATTACTAATCATAAACTTTAACTCAATTATTGTGATAATAGTGAGTTTAACAAAAATTTAATTCTAACGTTTCATTCAATTAAAAACTAATAAAAATAAATCTTCAAAAAATAAATAACTTATCATATCTGGAGTTTAAAAACAGTTTTAAAACAACTTTTTTTTGTTGAATAAGAGTTTATTCTAATGATAATGAATGAGATGGTGATGGAGATCAAGGACAGCACGTTCTCGACTCCCGTTATTTCAACTTTGGTTTCATTCAGAGTATTTTAATATGATTTTAATTTTTATTTATATATCTAATTGTATTTAATGAGTCATTTGAATGCAACACATACCTTGATATGATTTCATCCACGGAAAGAAGTGTTTATTACCACCGCTTTGCTGTGAATTGATTTGGCAGTTAATGGCCGCCAACTCAGGAGTGGTGGGCGGCGGGGAGTCAAAGGCTGGCGACTCATCGGTGGTAGACGTGGAACGGGTGGTCGCCGTTGCGATCGAATTGTTCTCAAATTGATTTACACTTAATTTACAAGAGGCTGGGCTTTGGTTGGATGGATAGAGTTGGTGCGGGTGTCCCACAGAACTTGTGTTATGTGGAGTTCCGCAGACCTGGTCGGGAGTCACAACACGAGTGGCATTACCGGTGCCGTCCTGTAGAAGAGTGTCTGATTGTAACAAATTAGTGACGCTATGGCCGTGAATGGGCAGTGAGTGGACGCTCGTAGGGCTCGGATGTTGACTGAGTGTATGGTACGGAACCGACGCCTGGAGTGGAGCGGTGGCAGAGGCTGTGGAGCCACTGAGTAGGGCTCCCCCCGTGAATACGTGATCTGGATGTGGATGATGTGCGTGACTGTGATGAGGATGACTGTGGTGTTGGAGTGAGTGGTGAGCACTCATGTGATGGTTGTGGTTGTGATGTTGCGAGTGATGCGGAAATGCGACCGAACTCTCGATGAAACGGTTGTGTGCGATGGCGTGCGAGTGGTCTGTTCCTCCGGAGGACACATATCTGGGCATTGATGGCGTCGGTGTCATGACATAAGCCGTTTGGTGTGGCGAGTGATAGGACTGGTAGCCATTGGGCGATGTGTTGTAAGCATTGGAGCAAACTTTGCCGGCAGTGAAGTGATTGAGAGGTAGTTCTGTTGATTGCCAGTCATGTCCAGCGCCGAAGTAGGAGCTCATCACGAAATGGTGAGACAATCACTTGGGATGAGTGTTGAGAAGAGGAAGAGGATGTGTTGAACTGTACGGTGTGTACAGCTCTTGGAGTAGAGATGAGTGTGGAGTGAAGTATAACTCTCAATACGGTATGAGTTATCGGTGAATGCAATAACAAGTTGTATGAATGTATGAGTTGTATGTGTTATGGATGTATGTATGGATGTACGCAAAAGAGCCGCAATGAATGATTTGTGTGATTCCCCCCGACCTCTGTCTATGCTTTTCACGTTACAGTCGTTGGCGAGGAGACCATAAGCGGTCGGTCATAATGACATGGAGTATCACGTGATGCCTGAACTGCGAACCAATAGCTTTCTCGTGATGACCGGCTGTCTGTCTGTTGCCTTTTGATGAATAACTTTTCTTACGATAGCTTTTCAATTGTCGACTCAAAAGCTATATATGAATGCAAACCCTTTGACCACCTGCGGGGCCATTCCTCATATCCGGATAAATATATTCAAACCAAAGGTACAAATAATGTCCAGAAACGAGATTTTGCAAAACTGTTTGCAATTCAGCTCTAAAGCCATACAGAGAGGCAGAGAGTGTCGGAGCGGTTGCGGAGCTCAGGACAGTTCACATCAGTCGACAGTTGAATAGCAGTTCACGTATGAGAACAGCTACTCGTAACCAAAAACTCACGAAAAGCACAACAAATGAAAAATGTTTGTTTGGAAAAAACTTTTTTTATTCGTCAAACATAACAGATATGAATGTGTATTAGAAATGAGTTGTGTTTGGCATTCGTAGCAATGTTTTATTGACAGAACACTAATAATATAACAATAATGATAAGAATGATAAGAAGGCACTGGAAATATACAAAAAACAATTGCAATGCAATTGAGGCAAAGGTGGAGCGGGGGAAGTGTTCGACACCGAAACCAATTACAAACCAACCAATATAGAGGGGACGTCCCTTTGCAGGTGGACCTACAGAAATCATAGTAAAGATGATGTGATGATGAATGTGCCGTTTATTGCATGTCTCCTATTCTCTCAATACATGATCTCAACAATTGTAGCACTGCTTCAGAACAACTCACCACTCATTGCACCAGTTGTTCACCAGATCTCCAATTCATATCATATGTTCTCAAATCAACACAAATCAGCTCCCATTCCATACAACCACTGCTCCAACCACTCAACGCTCACGAACACTCTACAGTACTATACTTCACAACAATTAACAACACTTTAGTTCACAATCGAAATAAAGTTTAAATAAAGAGTTAACACATCTCTTCATCTTTTACCACAATTGCAGCTTAAGTCCTAATACTTTGCTCTCAATGTGTGCTATGAATCTAACAGTAAAGATACATTGAATGAGAGAGAGAGAGAGAGAGAGAGAGAGAGTCTGGGAGGGGAGCTCACGTACAGCAATAAAATAAAGCACAAGACATGAGAGAGAATTGGTTTAGATGTCGATTGTTAGGGTAAAGAAATGACCCTCTTTTTGATCTTTCATGCTCTTTATTAATAGTGAATTGGATAACTTTGGACAATAGATTTATGTGTAAAATAAACATGATTAACAATTATTATTAGAGACCCTCTCTTACATCCCTGTGCCTAACGTTTAGCGGTTTAAGGATAATAATCTTAATGCCAGTGTTGACACAACAGATAAAAATCAATGAATTGTCTGTTTTTTGGGCAAAAATATAAAAAAATATTTTATTATCGAGAGGAAATCTTTGAGACTTTTGTGCGAGTCCTGCATTCTCTCTCTCTCTCTCTCTCTCTCTCCTTCTCTTTCAATCAGATTCACATTTTTGTGAAGCTGTTTGACAGTGAGTTATAGCGAATGCCTGAATTGCAATCTCATACGAGGGACTGTATGCCTTCGGTGAGTGTTTGGTGCGTTTTCTTACAATCAAAATAATAGAGCTTTTATGGTGTGACTCCCCCTTAAAGTGCTAATCGCTAATGCATTAAGAGTGAGGAGAGAAGAGAGTAGAGCCGATGCGACCAAACATCACAACATCGCGAATTAGGTGCAGCTATGCTTTGGATGAAGTGTTGACATTGCGCTCAAATCCAATGTTTTTTAGTCTACTTTCTATACACTTTGGATGGACTGGTTTGGAAGATGTGGTGCAATACCAGTGCTGTCTGAATGCTAAACCAATAGCAGGAAGTGAATGGCGAAGATTACATAGCATTGCATTGCTTTCCACTCGCTTTCCAATCATTTATATTCGTTCGACACATGAATCCATTGGGGGTTCGGGAGCGCATTGCCAGCAGATTAAACATTATATGATTGATCGAAGTGCGAGCCCTGCCTGTATGTGCCGTATATGCCTGTCTGCCTGTGCCCGTCTATGTGCCTGTGCCTATGCTGATGCCTATGCCTGGCTGTGCATTCATGGATTGCTGAGCATCAGTACAGCTGATGCAACCAACGATATCAAAAAGAGATTAAGTAAACGAAATGGTGATGCCATGTGAGATGTGCACAGCCAAAGGCCTACATCACCCAAACCTCCTCGATATAACTCTATGAATCTATCGATACAGTCATGTAAAGTGTGTTCTCCACTGTCTTTCCTACCCCTCCCCTGTCTTCCACTGTATTCTCATTTTTAAATTAAATTTTTTGCTTACATTCATCTAATCTTCGGCGCATTATTTACCCGCCAATGAATGCACCGTTAGATACAAGTGAACACTTCTGGCAGTCATCTCAGCCCAACCATCGCACACACACTGCACTACTGTTTCGTCTTTTATGAACTACCAGTGCTCTCATATGCACTTCATCTATAAGTTATCGTCTTCTAATTGAAACAAAATTTGATACAAAAAAACAAATAAAACTTTTTTGCATTTAAAATTCAAGCCTAATTTGAAAGGGTTAGATACAATTGGCTTCAACTGGTAGTAAATGGGAATAAAATGGCAAAACGAGTGTCACATTTAAGTAGGAAAGTGTCATTAAAAGGGGAAATGTATAGCAATAAAGATAAACGCAAAGTAATACACGCTATTTGCTTGTAGTGCCCATAGTTTACAGTCGACTCGAATATTTGAATATAACTTATAAACGCTACGTCTATGGCATAGTCTATGGCTTTCTCTATAACTTTGTTTATGACTCGATTCATAATTCTTTGAGCGTTGGGGTCCGACATATTTTACTCAAAAACAATAACCCTTTCACTTTAAAAGTGTTTCAAAGTCAAACCAATAAGTGTTGGGTGCGGTACAGTCATTGGAGGGATAGTTTACAACATTTTGTGTCCATTTATTTGTAGACATTGCAAATGAATCAAAGAATTGTAGACTATTTGCCACTAAATAAGATGTCCTCACGGCGTCCTACAAAGTGCTCTAACCAGAGGTGGTCTCTCTCTCTCTCTCTCTCTCTCTCTCTCGCTGTTTCACAACTATCATCAAAAGGCAGAAAACTTTGTTGTCATGGCGACAATATATAAGTACAAACTTATAGCAAAGTAATAGTAGTTTTGATCGATTTTCTACGCTCTCACTACCACTTTAGCTCACTTTCACTTCTTTGCATCTCTCTCTCTCTCTCTCTCTCTCTCTCTCTCTCGTTTGTGTGCATAAGCCATAGTATTCTAAACGTCTAAAGGATACACTTTTGATATTCAAAAAGAAGTTAAATAAAAAATTAAGTCGAGCTCAGAGTGTCTCGATGGCCACAAACGATCATTTATTTGCTAAAATCATAGCACACTATCAGACCATCGGTTAAAAGTTAATCTCTGTCCTCATATATAAAGAATAGTTTTCTAACCGTAAAGAAGCGTGAGTTGAAGCACAAGTAGACAACCAATTGTCACACCCGTACTCCTCTCACACTCACTCAAAAGCTTTTGCTTTTTCTACTTTTTCTAACTTTTTTATATATAAATATAACGGCGCTTCAAATTTTTGACTAAACTTTTTTTTCATACTGAAAGCCATACGTTATGTCGTCTCAGTTGAAGTGTTTTGAGTGTAGAGAAAGTCTATAAAAAATGCATTTATCGTATCGTTCGCCAAATTCTATGACTGCAATCAGCAAAGAATAGTTAGTTTTGCAGTTGTGTTTTGCATAGACCTAACGCCCCCCGAGACCCGTTCCTTATGCACTCCAATCGCATACAATACTTCTCTATTTGAAGCCAAACTCATGCATAGACTCTAATGTTATAAGAATTGAGCTCTTTCTTGAGTTTCTTATTTTGGATATTTTTGAATTTTGTAGCAAAAGTTGTGAGAATTAAGTTTAAAGAATCTGTGATCCCGGCGCTCAGTCGACTACCAGTGCACTGCAGACGGTGTCGTATTATTTAGTTTGAGAAATGCATGTTTCTCTCAATTCACTATTCCTTATATTAGATGTCTATTGATTTTCAATATTATTTGTCCAAAAAACGAAAAACAAGAGCTTTATGTCAACAAAAAGACAGTATTAGTTGTAGTGAGAGGAGCACCGGAGCACCGGATCGCGTGCTTTCATGTCATTTGTAATATAAGGTCTTTTTTCATATGAAGATCAATACAATTTGACGTTAAGACTGGTATTCATGCCATTCGTCACTTCGCCGCTCGTCATTCCTCACGATTATTGTCTCCATATAATGAATTTCATGTCCAATAGTGGACTTCAATACATTATACAATATATACATTCTAGATATCTATTGCTACTCTTTTATATTAATTTTATTATATTTTATTTGTTTGCTCTCAAGTCTCTCAACTGAATCATAGAGAGGCATGTATTGAACACTTATGTCATTAAAATCCATACAAATATTGCAAACAACAGAAAGACTACCGAAAAAGCTTATCCAGAAATATGTCGAGAATTTTTGGTAATAATCGCTTTGAGTGAAGATAATTGCAGTCAGACTCATAGAAAGAGTGACTTTCAAAGTGGTTAACTCTACTTCTATTGGAGAGGTATGGATCATACAATTGGTGAGCGCCGATACCAA